CTGGGGCTGGGCTGGGGGCACCGGGGTAGGGCTGGGGGCACTGGGGTAGGGCTGGGGGCCCTGGGGCTGGGCTGGGGGCACCGGGGTAGGGCTGGGGGCACGGGGGTAGGGCTGGGGGCCCTGGGGCTGGGCTGCAGGTGGGGCTGGGCAGCGAGAGCTCACTCAGCAGGCTGTGGAAAGGGGACAGTTACTGCCAGACAGTTGAACCGTTTCAGCTAATCCAGGGTTCTCCTCTTGGATCCTGGGGCCTCCCACAGTCCAGCTTCACGCTGCGGGCGTGATGGGCAGGTTCATCTCAGCCAATTATGCAGCATCCTCCGTGTAAATAGCGACCTCTGCCCAGGGAGCGCTGCCAGCTGTGCCCACTTAGTACGCGGGGAGCCCGTGTTCCTGTGCCAGAAATGTGCCAGCTGGAGCCAGACCCATGCCCCCAGAAGGGAGCCCCAGCCTGGCTGGGCAGCACGCGGGGCCGTTGCCATGGGAGAGCTGCAGGGAGGGAGTGCCCCCCCCCGAAGGCCGGTGTGTGCCCCAAGCTCCCCAGCACAGCTAGGCTCAGCACAGGTGGGCACTGCTGCTGGGCTCAGGGCTTGGCTGCATGGGCCACTGGCCCCAGGATATGCCTGGCGTGAGTTCAAACCAACGGCACCAGGCAAGGACTGCAGAGCCACCTTGGCGTACGAGTGGCTTGTGGCAGCACAGTTACACCTGCTCATAGTTTGGGGTGCAGGCTGCCCCGAGGCTACGGTGCGGAGAGATGACTCCCCCCAGCTCTCTGCCTGCAACAGCACCTGGGCTGGGGGGAGAGGTGCCTCTCCCTGCCACAGCAGCTCCGGGTCTGGACCTGTGGGAGAGACGCCTCTCCCCCAGCCACGGCAGTCTGGGCTTAATAAGCTGCTGCGTGGCCAGGCAGCTTAGAGGGAATTTAGGTCCTGGTGTAACGTTATTGACATGAACTGTGACCATATAGATCATTGTTGCAACCAAGGTCCTACAGTGGCACCAAATCTTGCACAAAGGAGGTCAAATAAAGTGTCCATGCAAAGGTTATGATTTGCTGGTTATGATTATGCTGTCTGTATGCATGTATCATTTTTGTATTTAAAGTTATAAGTATTGGCTCTATACTGTCTGTATTTCAAACGTATGCTATGCTTCTGGGTGACACCCAGGGCCGGCTTTAGGACCTGCGGGGCCCGATTCTGCGGTCTGGGTCTTCGGCGGCACTTCGACGGCAGGGGATCTGCTCCGCGTCTTCCACAGCACTGAAGGACCCCCCGCCGCCGAAATGCCACCGAAGATCCCGGAGCGGACCCCCCCCCGCCGACGACAAAATACCGCCGGAGCAGACCGCCGTCGGGGGAGCCTAAGGCGCAGGGCCCTCTTACCCGCGGGGCCCGATTCCGGGGAATCAGCCTAAGGCCGGCCCTGGTGACACCCCAGACAATTTGGCGTCAGCACTGCCTAGCCTGCTTGATGGTCCATTAAGGACCATCAGCTATACAATTGACCCATTGAGAGAAGGCAGATACACCTTGTGACTCCACAAGGCATGCAAGGACATGCCTATGGACAGAACTCTAAGGTTTTTTCCATGCCATGTGCTGGGTAGCTTGTTTTTGGAACAAAGGAAGCACTGGCCGCCTGGCAAGAGACTATAAAAGGCAGCTGCATCTTCTCCATCTTGTCTTCAATCCTGCTTCTTACCTCTGGAGGGACTTTGCTACAAACCGAAGCTCTGAACAAAGGACTGAATGACCCATCCCAGCTGGGGATGTTCCAGAGACTTGCTTTGAATCTGCAGTTTATCCCATCACTGCTACAAGCCTGAACCAAGAACTTTGCCATTACTGTATGTCATAATCCCATTTAACCAATTCTAGCTCTCATCTGTATTTCTTTCTTTTTATTAATAAACCTTTAGATTTTAGATTCTAAAGGACTGGCAACAGCGTGATTTGTGGGTAAGATCTGACTTGTATATTGACCTGGGTCCTGGGCTTGGTCCTCTGGGATTGGGAAAACCTTTTTTCTTTTACTGGGATACTGATTTTCATAACCATTCATCCCCATAACGAGTGGTGCTGGCGGTGATACAAGAGAACTAGAGTGTCTGAGGGAATTGCTTGTGTGACTTCTGGTTAGCCAGTGGGGTGAGACCGAAGTCCTCTCTCTTTGGCTGGTTTAGTGTGCAAAGGACCCCAGCCTTGGGCTGTGACTGCCCTGCTCTAAGCTATTTGTCCTGAATTGATACTCTCAGGAGTCTGGCTAGAGTTGCCATCAGCCCCTTGGGACAGGGGCCAGACCTTGGCCTCTGTCACCTGCAAGAGCCGACATTCACCTGAGTGTGCGCGACTCCTTCCACAGCCTGAAACGCCCTCTCCGCACAGACTGGCCCAGTCCCCTCTTACCTCCCACATCATATTGTGGCTCCCAGTTTGACCCGGGGCAGCAGTTTGCCAGCACTGGGGCCTGGGCTTGTTTCTGCCAGGAGGAGAAATGGCTGATGGAGGCAGTTGTTTATTTACAAGGAAGGTACAAAATCCCATTTCTTGGGACGAGGAACTCAACAGGAGGGATTTTCTTAGCTCACAGTCCCAACCCTCTTTCAGCCAGTGCTCAGCCCCAAAGCTCCGTCTCTTGGCTTTTCCCAGGGCCACGCTCCCAGTGGTTGTTCTGCTATGTCCTTGGCTTGCTGCTCCTTCCGTGTCTGTTTCTGTCTCTTGCTGCTTCCCTCAAACCCAGACATGCTGTTCCAATCTGCTGTCCCTCTCAGCTCCCAGTGCAACCCCCTTTGGCCATGTGGCTAGCCCTGCCCCAGCCTTGCTTTGGGCCACTGGTTCAGGAGCTTGTCACAGCGCGACAGGCCCCTCTAAGTGAATTGGGTCCAGTCCCAGGAGCGTGGGAGAGCATCTGGCACTAATCAGTGACAGGAAGGCAGCTGTGGCTGGGGAGGAGGTTCCTGAACAGAGTTCCCTGGGGACAGCCGAGGCCTAGGAGCCCAGCAGGGGCTAGCTTGCTGACCCTCCCCAGGCAGAGGCATGGAAGCCAGGAAGAAGCCTGGGAAGGACTCCAGGTGGGAGGGCTGGGGTGGCGGTTGTGGGCAGGGACCGAAGGCGAGCCAGGGAGTGGCAGGAGCCCCTGGACCTGGTGGATGAGCTGTGTTGTTGGACTTTGGCACATTTATGGACTGTGTGCCCTGGGCGTGGGATAAATGGCCTGTGTTTGGGCTCTCAAGGACTATTTACATTATGTGGGATAGTAACTGGTCCTGGGTAGGGGTAATATTGCACCCAAGAGAACTTGTGGAGGTTCTTTGAAGGGCCTGAGAGGGAAAATGAAATGTTAGTTTCCTGTTGTCCCACATGTGCTTGGTCAATTGGCCGAATGTGGTAGACACCTTTCTGATGCAAGGCTTAAGCTCGTCATCTAGAGATGAGTTATCCAGTGCAGTTGACCCTAGATAGCAGAACTCGTGCACAACTTTGAGCTTGGTGTTAGCTGCTGAAACCTCTGGTGCAGCCAATGTGCCTTGTGCCATAATCATTGTCTTCTTCAGACCGATGGCTAGTCCAAGCTAGCGCAAAGCTGCACCTGGAGCTCCTCTTCACTACGTGCGATGAGCGCTGCATCACTGGCAAAAAGACATTCTCCCATCTGCAGGCATTTAACTTCACCTTTTGCTCTCAGACGAGCAATGAGGAAGGGTTTTCCAGCTGATCTCGTATGAAGATGGACACCCTTTATACTAGAGGAGAGAGAGTCTGACAAAGCAGCAGAGAGAAGAATATACTGAAGAGTGTTGGTGCCAAAACACAGCCCTGTTTGACACCACTATGGATTTCAAAGCTGCTAGACTGACCACCATCATACTGGACTGCAGCCCGCATGGAAGGCTTGAACCAGACTGAGGAGGACGGGGGGGAGGGGGGGGGGAGCAGTTCTCTTGAGCAGTTGAAAAAGGCTCTTTCTGTTCAGCGGGTCAAAGCCCTTTGTGTGTTATGCTCACAGAAAGCACACAGGATCTTTAACAGGAAAAGGCAAATACGTTGCATTTATTGAAAATACAACAGTTAGCATATGCTTTTCATTGAGCACAAGTGAGGAGCTGGGCTCTGTTGGTCGCGATCCGATGCTACGAGGCTTTGCAGGACTGAACCCAGAGTTTCCTGGCAAAACACCCCAGCTTTATAGTTGTAAATTCCCATTTGAGTCCCTGCATTTTGCAGTGTCATCCTGTAATCATTACTCCTTAAGTGGGGTTAATCTTGGGGTTTTCTGCTGTTATCATTTGATGGTTCTTGTCGGGCTTCCCATCGTTATCTCCTATTTGTTGTCTCGTCTTCGGGGGTGCCTGCCTCACCTCTGAGGTCGTCAATGCTGTTAACATGTTTAGCATCGGATACAATGGATGTTTTCTGATTGTCTCCTGGTTTTTCCAAGTCTCTCACTTTTTCTTGACCATCTGGACATTTGTGATGGGTTTCACACCTTATCTTTTCCTGATGCAGGCATTCCTCATTCACACAAACAATCTCTTACAGAAACCTTCAAAGGTATTCAGGCAGCAGTATTTTATATTCAGCAGAATACATTGTAAGTCAAGCCTTGCTAAATCTTATAACTAAAACAATTCACATTGGGGCTTCAGACCCTCAACGTTCCTCTAATCTCCTTAACATAGATCCCGTCTCTTACTTTCTAAACCTTAAAACAAAGAAATGTATATTTAACTAGAGTGCCTAATTTGTAATACATATCGGAAACCATAGTAGACATTATAACTTATCCTAAAACAAAAGGGTGACCATAATCAGTCATAAGGATTGTTCTGGTCTGTCATTCCTTTCTGCTATTCAAAAAGGGTGGCTGGCAGGATGAAATCAAATCATACATTAATTCTCATAGTACAATTATAAAATCCTGCTCCTACACGTGAGCTCCAGGAAGGCCATAGAAACAGGTTTTCCTTCTTCTTGACACTTCTTGCAATTGCTTATGGTAGACCATTTAACTCCTTGGCTGTAACCTAGGGTGACAATCTCTTCAGCTTCCCCTCCCCCCGCCAGCTTGGAGCCAAACCCTGGCAGTGTCGATGCTGAGGGGTGTGAGCCCCACACCAGGCTTCCTGCCACGCCCCCACTAGCTCTCGCCAGGCAGCCGTGGAGACTCATCGGCAGCGCCTAAAGATGTGGCTGGCAGGTAGCCATGCTGAGACAGAAAGGGACCCCCGGGGAACCTGCACTCCAGCACCCTGTCTCCTCTGGCCTGAATCTCACCCTCCTCCATGCCCCATCCCTTGACAATGGGGTGGCTCAGATGCTTGGTGAGTTTCATGCAAATGCCAAGCCATGAGCAACAGACAGGCCAGAGACGTACAGTTTCTCCTGGGGGCAGATTCACGTGGGCAGAGAGGGGAAGGCACCGGGGTGTAAGATCCTGAGACGGGCCCGGCGTCTCCTCCAGCCTCGTGCGCACCAGTGAATAAGCAGCCAGGACTGGCATGGCTGGAGAATGGGCAGGGGCCTGAGCCTGCAGGGGGTTTCTGTGCCCCATTGCACCCTGTGAATGTCCACACGCAGCCCAGCTCTCCCTGGTGCTCCCTTCTGGGATTGCGCCCCGCGGTAAAGGGCGGGGACCCAGGGCAGCCAGTAGCTTCTCTCATCCAGAGAAAAGCAACAGAGGGTCCTGTGGCACCTTTGAGACTAACAGAAGTACTGGGAGCATAATCTTTCGTGGGTCAGAACCTCTTTTCTTCAGATAGTATCAGGGGGTAGCCGTGTTAGTCTGTATCTACAAAAACAACAAAGAGTCTGGTGGCACCTTAAAGACTAACA